TTGTAACGAATGAAGGCCTTTTACAAGTCCAAAGAAGTTCCTGAAGAATTATTTTAAAAATTTGGAGTATTATTCTAATTAAATTACGGGATAATATTTTTAAAAAGTGAAATTACAAGTTGGACTTTGAAAGTAAGTAATTTTTTAGTTAGCCTCTTGTCTATTTATCTTGTCTGTGTCTGTAAGAGTTACTGGCTATAGAAAGTTAAGACAAATCAACTATGAAATTTTATTAAGTTGATTTGTTGACCTTCAGTCACGTGTTTCAATCAAACACCAAATCTTACATTGTAAGAATTGGGATGTAGATTTTTTTCATGTCTAGGCAGACACTTTATGTTTAAATATGTATATGTCAATTATATTTACATTACCTTACACGCACTAGACACTTTTATTGAGTATCTAATCATTAGTCAGCAGTTAATCGAGATTTAAGACCTTCCTTGGATACTTTGGATGAAAATTGAGCTAACTATTAGGTTCTCTAGCGGTAATTATCTTACTTTTGGTCTTGGTTTTTTTGGAGTCTTTGAATAATACAGTGTAGCTAAGTTCTTGGAATATTTTACTTTGTTAGTCATTTCTTCTTTTCCTAAAAATATTAAATTGTTTTTATTATTCTGCTTTGAAATCTGTGAAGAAGACTATTTTAATTATTGAAATTTTGCAATTTAAATTAATTTAATAAGTTGAATTTTATTGCAAATATATTGAAAAATTTTCTTTTGACTGATAACTTTAATGTCATAGCTTTGCATTAAACAGTAAGAGGGCGTTGCGAAATTGTAAAATTTGGAATTATGTTTTTAAAGAAGAAATTTGAAGAAATTGATGTTTAAAATGATATATTTGAGAAGAAATAATATTCTGATGATAAAATATAATTTTTTGAGTGAAGAAATAGTTAGAAATAGTAAAAGTTATTGTAATAAGATTTTAAATAGGTTTTTAAAGAAGAAATTTAATGGAAATTTGAAGAAATTGATATTTAAAACGATATTTTTGAGAAGAAATAATATTTTTTAATAAAAAATGTTTTTTTAAGTGAAGAAATAGTAAAAAATATTGTATTGGGATTTTAAATAGGCTTTTAAGGAAGAAATTTAATTTAAAATTGAAAAAATTGATATTTAAAATGATATATTTGAGAAGAAATAATATTCTGATGATAAAAAATAATTTTTGAGGGGAAGAAATAGTCAAAATAATGATATTAGGAGTTCAAATAGGTTTTTAAAGAAGAAATGTAATTTAAAATTGAAGAAATTGATATTTAAAAAATATATTTGAGAAGAAATAATATTCTGATGATGAAAAATATTTTTTTAATTGAAGAAATATTAAAAATTATGATATAACGATTTAAAATTTGTTTATTTTGTAATTTGGAGCGCTATCACAAAAAATTAAATTTTTTGATTAGCTTTTAATTTGTACCATAACTTTTATTATTATTATTATTAATAAACTCTCTAAAAATTTTATTTAAAATTTAATGAATAAATTTTTCATTAAAGTACTTAAAGAAGAATACTTTAATGAAGAAATAATGTTAAAAATCTAAAAAGTATAACAATCAAAACAAAAGTAAGCGCATAAAAGTTTGGCTAACTTTTAAATTGTCTCGGGCTGGCGTTCTACTTATCGCTTCAATTTAAAATAAAAAGTTGAACCACGTAAAGCTAATTCACGGTCAATTTGGAGAGAGTAAGAGAAAAGAAAAACAAAATTGAGAATAACAATAGAAAAATAATAATTTTAATCATTATTATTATAATTACAATTAATCATATATTATTTTTTTATTTATTTCTTTGATAATTGCAGAGTTGTTATTATTTATTATCCAACAATCGATAAAATGATGATGAATAAAACAAAGTTGCGTTTTAATCGAAATGACTAATCAGTCACTTTCTAAAACCACAAAATGTAAATACCCACGCGGGAATTCTAATTCTATTTCCGTTTGTTTATCTCAACTTTACCAGATTGATAAATATAAATTAATAAGATTTTTATCCGCCTTGTCTTCTTTAATCGATAATGTATACGGATATTAAAATAATAATCATTAATTACAATTAATACTAACTACACTTACAATAATAATAAACAAATTAAATTAAATTACTACAAGTCACTAAATTCAAGGTAAAACATGTCAGAAAATTTAATTTTGCGGACAAAAAAATCCCCGCACGTATTTAAAAAAACTGTCAAGGCTTATATTTTTTATATAAACAATTAAGTTAGCTATTAAAGAGTGTAATTACCCGTAATAGTAATTAAATAACATGAAAAATATATTCTTCAGTTAAAACTAAAAATTCTAAGTCTCTCCCTCTAAAATCATCATCTTAGGATGATAAATTTGTTTAAAAGCTTACGCAATCCTCATGTGGACATTTAAATATATATGTAGTAAGTAATAGGAATTCCATTATAGAATACAAAGTATTATTCGGTAGGTTTGACACGTATGAAGTACATACACTGCATATTGGTTGAATGTTATCGTTGTGCAAATCCCCAGCCAAGCGTTATTATTTTATGCGATATATTGTGTTGTAATAAAAAAATTTCTGCATTAAGATCACTCTACCCAATACAACTAAACTGTACATATAATTTAAATGGATTTGCATGAGCTGCCTGCTGTACTTGAGTATAATATCCTCGGTGCAGTCATACCGAGATGAGTCCGCAGCAGATAATGGAATTTAAGTTTATTATAATTTATGGATTTTTATCGCCAGGAATGTGATGAGCATGCTAAATGTCTAATCTCGATATTCGGGATTGAGTGAAGAAATATTTATCAAATAAAATTATATAAATTCCACGTGAGATCAGCCTCGATCTCTTGAACTTTCTTTCGAGTTTTTTTAGAGTGACCTTGAATTGTTTAATTTTTTATTTAACGCAACCTTACATCTGTGTAGAGCAAGTGGCTTCACAGATAGAAGATAATTAATAAATTATTTTTTAATATCATAGAATTTAATAAATATTTATTAACAGTTAATGTATGTACTTTCCTTCAAAATAAATATTTATTAAATGTTAAAAAATATTTATTAAAATTTAATAAATTAAATAATTGTCTTCAAATAAATTAAACTTGTTTATATTTAATAAGATTGGATTTTTTTTATATTTAATAAGCTTTTTAAACTGTTAATAAATGATTTTTTAATATCATAGAATTTAATAAAAATTTATTAAATGTTAAAAAATATTTATTAAAATTTAATAAATTAAATAATTGTCTTTAAATAAATTAAATTATTAATAGTTAATAAATCCTTCTATCAGTGTTGATCATAATTTTTTTAAATTATGAGCGATCCGATAAAATATCATAATTGCGTACGCAAACTTGGCGTTAATTATAGAACTGCAATAATATAAAAAGTATTTAAATATTTAAAATTTAATTTTTAAAAATGATAAATATAAAAATTAATTAATTAAATTAATTTTAACTAATCCCGTTTTTAAAAATGTTTTCTTTAATTATAAATAAAAAGTATTTAAATTTAATTTTTAAAATGATAAGCATAAAAATGAAATTGATTTAAAGTTATGAAATTTGTTTTGCTGATTATTGTAAAGAAAAAAACTCTCATTTTTATTTAATTATTTAATTATTAAATTACATCTTAATAAAGCTTTTAAATAAATTAAAATATAATTTTGCAAAAAGTAAAATTCAGTTCCGCTAATTGCAGCGGTTGATTGCCGGGCATTAATCTCTAGAATAAAAGTAAGAAGAAATGGTGCGATATGAGAACATAAAAGATTAAGGGGTCTTAGTAATTAGCTCTTAAAACAATGACGAGAGAGAAGAAATATATTTTCGCGTGTAATTACATTACTTTTCCGGTTATTGCACTGCGTACGATCCAGTAGTCGTCTATTAGCTCGCAAGTCGTAAGAATTTGTTTAGTACGCAGCCATTCGTATACTCATAGCCTAGATTGCACGGTTATTGAAAGAAGTCAACGCGGTGCGACTTATTCGACGACTATACAATTACGTAAGAGTATACGACTTTCTTTTTGCTGACGCTTGCCAGTTTCATCGTTGGGCAACTATATTTCTGTACCGCTCACATATAAAAATTACAAATAGTAAAAAACATATATAATACATATAATAAAACCCTACAATAAAATAAAATATGCTTCCAAGTGTTTAGTGTACCGAAAATTTTTCTTGAGCAATTTTAAATTATAATTAATTTTTTTTCTAAATTAATTATAAAATAAATTACCTTAAAGTCATGCACCGTGGATAAATAAATTGTTTAATTAATTTTTATTTATTTTATATTTAATATAAAATATTATTATCAAAATATAATTATAAAAGCAGAATTAGTTTTAATTAATTTTTATATTTATCATTTTAAAAATAAAATTAAAAATATTTGAATACTTTCTAATAAAATAGAATTATAAAAAAAATTTCTTCTTAATAAAAATGAATTTAAATCTCTCTAATATACTACGACATAGATTTAAATCAAAGATAAAAATTACACAATCTTATCCAGTGATTTAAAAAAAACAATTTTTAAATCTAATCAATTATAAATGTAAATATTTAATATTATAAATTATAAATAAAATATCGTACTATTAATGAGAATAATAGTTTACTCGGGCTTTGATAGAAGAAATGATTACGTCGCGAGTAATTTATGTTTCCAAGTGTTGCCGAAGACTGTTATTCAATAGCCTGCGTGGATAAATACCATTTAATGTTTTTTTTTAACCCTCCATTAATATTTACCGAGTAAATTGCGGAATTTATTAAGTCTATTTTATGAAAGCAATATCAATTTGCTTTCTATTGTCGTGCCTTTGATTAATAAGGAGAATAAGCTTTTTCATTTTTATTTTATAATTATCTGCTGAGATAATAGATAATAAATTCTTTTTTATTATTTATAAATAAATAAATAAATTTTATATATTCTTCTTTAATAGAGAGGGTACGCCAGGAGGTGGTTACACCAACCCGTCAATAGAAACGATTCTAAACTCTGAATCAACCATGGACAGTAACGTGATAGCACCAGGGGTGGTGCTCTCAGCTCCAGGATTAAACAACCCTGCTTGGAACCGCCAGCAGGCCGTCAGCGTAAGACATGCCTTCAAAACTTACGGCAGCAGCAAAAACCCAAATCCTGTTCTTCAGAACTTGAGCATGACAGTCGCCAAAGGATCAATGTGAGTTTTTTTAATTCTCTTATATTTATAGATGATAATTATAGTGATTAATAGCTGTGATAAAAGCATTGGACTTTGCCGTATGCAAAACTGTTTCATAAGATCCAAGGTTGACTCGCTAAAAAACAAAAAAATTTTAATTATTTAGCTACGGCCTTCTGGGAGCCAGTGGCTGTGGGAAGACTACCTTGCTGTCCTGCATCGTTGGAAGAAGACGACTCAATTCTGGGGAAATATTCGTCCTTGGGGGGAAACCCGGGACCAGAGGCTCCGGAGTTCCTGGAAAACAGGTCGGATACATGCCCCAGGAGATTGCTTTGTACGGGGAATTTTCTATTCGAGAAACTATGATGTACTTTGGGTGGATCTTCGGCATGGATACCAATGAAATTGTAGAGAGATTGAGGTTCCTTCTTCAGTTTCTTGACTTGCCTTCGCAAAACCGGCTCGTCAAAAATCTCAGGTAAATCCGAAGTTTTTTTTTTTTTTTTTATATATTTTAATTAGTGTTTTTAATCAAATTAATTACTAATTTTTATGGAAATTAATTTAGTGGATTTTTAATTATTAAAAAATTTTTTTTAATAAATAAATTATGTGACATTAAAATTAGTAGTCACTTGATAATTTTTTTAAGTTATTTAACAAATAAATCTTTTTTTAAAAATTATTTTTAAAGAATTACATTAATAGTTTTTTTAAATTTCTACATGTTAATTTTTTTTTCATTTTTTTTTTTTATTATAACTTATTTGTAAAAAAAAAATTCTAAAAATTATTAAGTATCTTTTAAATTAATTCTCATATCAATTATTTCAAAAAAATATTAAAAAAACAATTGATATGAATAAATTTGAAGAAATTAAAAATACAAATTTTGTAAAAATTAATTTAGCAGATATTTAATTAAAAAAAAATTTTTTTTTAAATAAATTATTGTAAAAAAATATTAAAAAATAAAATTGATATGAAGAAATTAAAAATACAATTTTAAATTAAAATTGTTAAAAAAAAATGATCAAGACTGCTAATTTTTTACCGAATTAATTATGCTAATAGTGGCGGACAGCAGAGACGAGTCTCCTTCGCCGTGGCACTTATGCATGATCCTGAACTGTTGATCCTAGATGAACCGACGGTCGGTGTCGATCCACTATTAAGACAAAGGTATGTATCTTAGAAGAATACATTATATTAATATCGCTTGTAGTTTTTGTGATATTTGCGCTTCTATTTACGTTTCCACTTAACAAAAACCGATAAATGAAAAAAGGTTGACTCGGTTTGCGTCATACTGAGCAGAGACATCGATGGATTTTTTTGCACCGAGTTACAAGGCTTGTGAACAAGTTAAAGTGCAAGGAAATCGTCTTCATTCGCTAGTCGTCTGGAAAAAAACAAGAATTTATAAGAAAAATATTGCCACTGTTTTATTTTAAATAACAAGTCTCATGAATGGAACATGATCTCGCGTTTTATTTATATAAATTTTTAAAGCTAAGATTACACAAGCCAAAGATATTAAATTTAATTTTACTTACTGATTTTATTTTTCTTATTTAACTTATAAGAAAATTAAATTGTCTGCAGTATTTGGAATCATTTGGTGCAAATCACTAAAGATGGAAACAAAACAGTCATCATTACAACGCACTATATTGAGGAAGCACGGCAAGCCCACACGGTAAATAAATTTCATTTTTTATTTGCTTACTTTAATAGAAAAGGTGTTACGTATTGCCGAGTCTCTTTTTGTTGAACTGGAAGTAATAAAATTTTTTAATGTTAACTCAGATTGGTCTCATGCGAAGCGGAAGACTATTGGCCGAAGAATCACCAAGAGCTTTGTTGACAATGTATAATTGTGCATCTCTGGAAGATGTTTTTCTCAAATTATCAAGGAAACAAGGTCAAAGCACTCAACCTACCACGGAATTAAACATCTCTAATAATATTAGCATGGTAATTTTTTAGCAATTTAAGCTAAAAGAAGATGAAAAAGTGAAGAAGTTTTTAATTAATGGAAATTTATTTCAGGCTTCCTTAAACTGGGGTAAAAAGGACGAACCAGTTTATGTCACTGAAGAGTCTGGAGTGGTAGGCTTGAATTTTCATCAAAGTAAAGAAGTTCTTATTCATGATACTACTAATGGCGTTGGCAGTCATTATGATGTAAATATATTTTTTTTTTTTTATTTATTTAAAAAGTAATTTGAGTCAAAAGAAAAATTTTTTAATCAAAATTATCATTTTCAGAAGTTTAATCATTTGAAAAAAATTTTTTTAATTTTTTTATTAAAAAAAATGTTAATTAAAATTAATTAATTAATTAATTTAAAGAATAAATAATTAAATTAATTTAAAAATATTACTAAAAAAAAACAAGTTTAATTATTTAAAAAATTTTTTTTTTATTTTATTTATTGCAAAAAAAAATTAATTCTTGCACAAAAAAAAATTTTTAAGAAGACAAAAATTTATTTTTAAGCATTGAAGACATTTTGAAAATCTATGAATTTTTTTTTCTGTATAGGTAATTAAAGAATTTTTTAACTTGATTTAAAAATTTTTAAAATGATATTTTTGATTCAAGAATTTTGAATCAAACTATAAGTTTTATTGAATTATTTTTAGCTTAATGGAAAACCATTGCCAGGAGTCAAAAGTAACCCAGTAAAACGTTCAAAATGTTGTAGACCAATAAGTTGCAATTTTACAACTAGAGGAAAAATGAGAGCGCTGCTCCAAAAAAATTTCCTTCGTATGTGGAGAAATGTCGGGTAAGTTTTGGAAAAAAATTCTTCAAAAATCTTGACATTTAATAATTTAATTATGAATTTTTAAAGGGTGATGCTGTTTATCTTCGCATTACCGGTGATGCAGGTAATATTATTTTGTCTTGCCATCGGGCGAGATCCAACTGATCTCAGATTAGCAATAGTAAACCACGAGATGGATTGGGAGAACCAAACCTGTGACATAAGATCTGGATGTATGGAGGGTAAATTAAGTTGTCGGTATTTAGAATTTCTGTCTAATAAAACTATCATAAAGGTACGTTCCAGTCTGTAATTAGCTAATATAAATAATTATTATTTTCAAATATTAATAATGAGAATTATTTTCAAAAGGAGTATTACGAGTATCCAGAAGAAGCTTTAGAAGCAGTAAAATTAGGAAACGCCTGGGGAGCTTTGTACTTCACAGAGAACTTTACGGAGTCGCTTGTAGCTCGAATGGGTCTCGGGCAAACAGTGGATAACGATACATTGGATCAAAGTGAAATTCGCGTTTGGCTTGATATGTCAAGTAAGATAAACTTATAAACTATAAATAAATAACATTTTGCTTTATTAAATAATGAATTTCGTTAGATTGCACTGTAATTTTTTAAATATTGACATTTTTTAAAATATGAGCTCATCCCGATGTTACACTCATCAAGAGCTTTCATTTGAGTACCCACATCAATTTTCATATATATTTCATATATACATATATATAAATATATGAAAAATTTATGTGGGTACTCAAATGAAAGGTTTTGATGAGTGTAACATCGGGATGAGCTTATATCTTCAAAAGTATCATTAGTTGACAAGATAGCAAGTCATTTCTTAATTATTGACATTTTTTAAGATATAAGCTCATCCTGATGCTGCACTCATCGAGACCTTTTATTTGAATACCCACATCAATTTTTCATATATTTATATATATATTATATATATAGGTCTCGATGAGTGTAATGTCAGAGTGAGCTTATATCTTAAAAACTATCATTAGTTAACAAGATAGTAATGTCAGTTCTTAATTATTGACATTTTTTAAGATATAAGCTCATCCCGAAGTTATACTTACAAGATAGCAAGTCATTTCTTAATTATTGACATTTTTTAAGATATAAGCTCATCCTGATGCTGCACTCATCGAGACCTTTTATTTGAATACCCACATCAATTTTTCATATATTTATATATATATTATATATATAGGTCTCGATGAGTGTAATGTCAGAGTGAGCTTATATCTTAAAAACTATCATTAGTTAACAAGATAGTAATGTCAGTTCTTAATTATTGACATTTTTTAAGATATAAGCTCATCCCGAAGTTATACTTATTAAAAGCTTTCATTTGAGTACCCACTTGCATTTTTGATATATTTTTCATATATACATATATGTAATATATATAAATATATAAAATATATGAAAAAATTGATGTGGGTACTCAAATGAAAGGTCTTGATGAGTGTAATGTCGGGATGAGCTTATATCTTTAAAAATGTCAATATTTTACAAGACAAAAGGTCATTTCTCAATTAAGTATCTAGAGATAGAGAATAATTAAAAATAAGGTGTAATATTTAATATTTAAATCTTAGATCAACAAATTGGGCTGATGCTGGCACGGAATCTTCAATACACCTACCGAGACTTCGCCAAATCACTGCTCAGAGAGTGTGATTACAACGAGAAGCTAGCTGACGTCCCGATACAATTTTCTGACCCAATCTACGGAAGTAACGACCCGAGTTTCACCGATTTCGTCGCTCCTGGCGTAATTCTCACGTAAGACTTTGATAAATATTTATTACTCCGAGATCTTGAGCAAGAGACATTAATGAGACGGTGTTATTTAATTTAATTTATCTTTACTGTATCTTTTAGAATTGTATTTTTCTTGGCGGTCGCTTTGACATCCTCGTCGCTGATAATCGAGCGGCTGGAAGGCTTGCTGGATAGAAGCTGGGTCGCAGGAGTGACGCCTGGAGAAATTCTCTTTTCTCATGTTGTTACACAATTCGTGGTAATGTGTGGCCAGACAGCGCTCGTACTCATATTTATGATTCTTGTCTTTGGAGTCGAGTGTAATGGCGACATTGGTTGGGTAATCATACTAACTATTCTTCAAGGTCTCTGTGGCATGTGTTTCGGTAAGATTAACTCTGTGAAAGAAATCTTTTATTCTATTCTTAGAAGTTTATTAAATCCTCGTTGTTTGCTGCTATTAAGTTATCTTTAATATACATGATAATGATGATGTTATTATATTAATAGATTGATGAATTACTTTTTAGGATTCGTTATATCGGCTATTTGCGAACTTGAAAGGAATGCCATTCAATTGGCGTTAGGTAGCTTTTATCCGACACTTTTGCTCAGTGGTAAGTTGATTTATTATCATTTTTAATTTATTTATTTTTATTACTTTGAAAATATCAATTATATATTGAGAAAAAAATTTATTTAATAATAAAATTAATAGTTTTGTGACTAGAAATAAATTTTTAAGTTTTATTTATTAGATGAAGGAAGAAAAAATTTTTTTCACTGTAATTTTCTTCTTGAAAAAAAGTTTTCTTCTTTGAAAAACTTTTCATCTTGACGTTACACTCTCCAAGAGCTTTCATTTGAGTACCCACATGCATTTTTATATATTTTTCATATATACATATATATAATATATATAAATATATAAAATATATGAAAAATTGATGTGGGTACCCAAATGAAAGGTCTTGATGAGTGTAATATCATGATTAGCTTAGATCTTTAATAATGTCAGTGGTTGACAGAATACAAGGCCATTTCTTAATTATTGATATTTTTAAAGATATAAGCTCATTCCAATGTTACACTCATCGAGATCTTTCATTCAAGTACCCACATGTATTTTTGATATATTTTCCATATATGCATATATATAATATATATAAATTTAAAAAATATATAAAAAAGTGATGTGGGTACTCAAATGAAAGGTCCTGATGAGTATAACATCACGATGAGCTTATATCTTTAAAAATGTCAATAGTTTATAAGATACAAGGTCATTTTTTAATTATATAAATAGTCTGGCCAAAAAATTTTGCTTATTCTCTTAACAATATAAATTACTGTGAGAAAACTTTTATTTCCTCACCTAAGAAATAAAATTGATTTTAAAATTTTAAATAAATTAATTTCTTTTGAAAAAAATGTCCATTTTTTTTTAAAGAATTTTTTTTTCAATGTATGATAATACTGAATTTAATAAACATCAGTCCATTTTTTGGATTTTTATAACAAAAAATTCCACAGCTAAAAATTAAAAAAAATTTTTTTTTAACAATTTATTTATAATAAAAATTAAAAAAATATCAATTGTCTGAATTCAGTATCTGAATGCTTGATCGGACACTAACAGGTCAACAATTTAAATCGACTGTTTAATTAATAATTTCCAATTTCTTAATCGCTTAATCAAACATTGTGTTTCTTCAGGTGTTATTTGGCCAGTCGAAGGAATGCCAACAGTATTACGATATATATCCCACGGTTTACCATTGACCATGGCAACGACGTCGCTAAGATCAATGTTGACAAGAGGATGGACGATAATAGAGCCAGATGTTTACAAAGGCTTTATTTCGACGGTGATATGGATTGCCATATTTTTAACCATCAGTATGCTGGTCCTAAAGTTTAAACGTGGTTAGGCTCTTAAAATTTCTCATAAAATAATTTTTAGTTTGAATAATATTGTAGATTAATTAAATTTTACACCGACACGATGTCAATGTAATTTTTATAATAGATAATTAAATTTCTAAGAATGTTTAGGATCTTTTAATTAAAATTGTTGTATCAAAGCAGTATCCACGACATCTTGCGCTGATATTAATGTTTATTCCATATATATTTTTATCTAGTATAATAGCGTTTATTTTAATAGATATAAGATATTATGGAAAATTATTTTAACATCTGAAAAATTTTTTAGCTAAGAATTATTTATGGTATTTGTAAATACAGATGTGGATAATTATTTAATCAGTGTATGATTCTATTGTTAGCATGAATGTATTTTCTGCAGAAATTTGTATAAATAATGATTTACAAAAAAAAATTTTAATTGTTAAAGTGAACAATTGCGTGTTGCTCATTAATTATTATTATTATTATTATTTTTATTATATAAATATATTTTTTGTCAGTAGTTAATAGTAAAATTAATTATAATTTTAATATGTATACTTGCCTTTAACTCGAGTGAACAATTAAAAATTATAAATTGTAATCCAACGTTGTAAATATTTTGATATACATTTATTTACTAAACAAATAAAAATTTACATATTTTAAAACTTATAAAACAACTCGATACTTTTCTTCTTCCGTAAACCATCCCTTATTTTTTTGCACGGTATATTTCCAGTACTCTGCAAACATACAATAATAATAATAAAACTAGCAACCTTGCAGTCACTACGTGACTGCATTTTGATATATTTTTCATATATATTATATATATTTTAAAGATATGAGCTCTTCTTGATGTTACACTCATCAAGAGCTTTCATTTGAGTACCCACATGCATTTTTGATATATTTGTCATATATACGTATATATAATATATATAAATATATAAAATATAAAATATATGAAAAATTGATGTGGGTACTCAAATGAAAGGTCTTTATGAGTCTAATATTGAGATGAGCTTATATCTTCAAAAATATCATTACTTGACAAGATAGCAAAGTCAGTTCTTAATTATTGACATTTTTTAAGATATAAGCTCATCCTGATATTACACTCATCAAGAGCTTTCATTTAAGTACCCACATGCACTTTTGATATATTTTTCATATATTGATATATGTATATAATATATATTATATATAAAATATATAAGAAAAATTGATGTGGGTACTTAAATGAAAGGTCTCGATGAGTGTAATGTCGGGATGAGCTTATATCATTAAAAATGTCAGTAGTAGTCAAGATACAAGGTCATTTCTTAATTATTGACATTTTTTAAGATACAAGCTGATCCTGATGTTACACTCATCAAGAGCTTTCATTTGAGTACCCACATGCATTTTTGATATATTTTTCATATATACATATATATATAAAATATATAAATATTCATATATATAATAAATATATGAAAAATTGATCTGGGTACTCAAATGAAAGATCTTGATGAGTGTAACATCGGGATAAGCTTATATTTTTAAAAATGTCAATAATTCACGAGATACAAGGTCATTTCTTAATTATGTATCTAGAGGCACAACTACACAGGTCAAGACTTTTCCAATAATACTAAATTTAACCATGAAAACCCATATTATCATATAAATACACGCCACAAAATTTTGCTTATTCTCTTACTAATAAAATAAAATAAAAAAAATACTCACTTATATAACTTTGTAAATTTCCAGCAAAGCCACCGTACTCGGCAGGCAGTTGCTGCTTAGGAATACTTGAAAAAAGATCTTCACTGGTCTTCGAGTAGACATTAACTTTTGTACGCATTTTATGACTCATAAAGCTTTTAAATAGGTTTAAAATTCCATTAACGTAAATGGGCGCGTTAATGAAATTGAGGGAATTTATTTTAACTGGATAGCATCCTTGCCAAGAGTGTACGAGTCGTTGTACCACTCTTGGTGTCATTTGAAGACCGTGGCCCAAAGTGACATTGCTCATATCGAAGATTACAATCGCTCCGATCGTTGAAACTGTCATATTATCTTTTATAGCGACGTCTAATATCATTTTACCTGTCTTCAATATTATTAAAAATAAAAATAATTTTATTTACAATCAAATAAATTTATATAATCTCTGTTTAATCTATTCTACCTTGATAACATTAGCTATTTTATGCTTGTAGGGGTCATGAATACTGACACGTATAATTATTATCATTTTTTCTCCATCATTTTGCTGTTTCAGAGGTATAAATACGCTGAAAGTATTTGTCAAGTTAATAATTTCATAAAAAAATTTTTTTTTAATTAATTAATTTTATAAATGCGTTTTAAAAAAATTTTATGACATTAATCAAAGTTAGCAGTCATTTGATAATTTTTTAATTTTATTTAACAAACAAATTTTTTTTTTTTTTAAATTATTTTTAAAAAATTGCATTTATAATTTATTTACTTCAATATTTTGTTCTCATTCCTTTCGTCATAATTTATTTGTTAAAACAAAATTATTAAATATCCACTAAATTAATTATCATAAAAATTTTACCCTAAATTTAGCAATTCTTCAAGCTCTGGCAAAAATGGATCTCTATTATCAAACCATTCGGGAGATTTGGATCTCTGAGCGTAATAATTATAAATTTTTTCTTGCGTCTTAGTTACGTCATAATTACAGCATCTTAGAAATTGTAATAAAGTGAATTCATCTAAAAGAAAAAAAAAAGGAATAAATAATTATGATACAGAAGTTAGCCGACTTCTTCAATTTTTTTAAATTATTTAATTAGTACTACAAAATATTTTTAAAAAATTCCACATGTAGTTTTTCAAATTTTTTACATATGGAATTTTTTTTTTTATAATTTTTTTAATGAAAAAATTTATAAAAAAAATTTTAATTTGTAAAAAACTCTAAAAATTTTTTAAAAATATTTTTTAGTTCTAATTTAATAATTAAAAAAAATCTAAAAATTAAAAACGTTGGCTAACTTTAGTGTTAATAATTTTCTTAAAAAAAAATTCGCAATTTAAATTAAAATTACAATTACAATTCAGTGACATAATCTTGACATGTAATGTACTTACCTGTACGAGCGTACAGCTTATTATTAGAACGAACCCACTGTCTAATTTCATCAATCTTCTTAGCAACAGTCTCGTCATCTTCATTTGACAGGTCAATAGAAGCAAAGCTCTTTTCACTTTGCGGACTTTGTACATTGCTTTGTGATGAACTCAACATTTGAACTCTTTGTGTTCAAATCACTTTGTTGTGACAGGCAATTAGTTAAATACCTTCAATTAAATTGTTTTTCACTATTTTTTTTAATTTCACTTCTTAGCACTTTAATAATTAAAAATTTTAGTCACACTCGACTTTAATAACTTTATAATAATGATGGAGTTTATATAGAAAACTAAAACTTGTGGGCGTAAGGAAATTTGATAAGTGTTCGTTGGTGCGTTAATAAAACATTTTATCAATTTATCACAAAGAAAATAAATAAGTCCGCGGTCAATGTACAATGTTTTTTTTTTTTTAATATGCGCTTAATTTTTTTTTATCTCAAATATTTATTGAAGGTCTTATTAATTTAATACCACTTTAAAGTTAGCAGTCTTGACCATTTTTTAATTTTTTATGATGATAAATTTAATGAAAATGAAGTTAGCTGACATTTCAAGATTTTTAGAAATTTTTTATTGAAAAAATTCCAATTAAACAATTAAAAAAAAATTTCACATGGTAAAAAACTTGAAAAACTATAAGTGTTAAACTTTAGTGTCATTAATTTTTTTTTAACAAAAAAAAATTTTTAATTTATTAAAATTTTTTACAGGTCAATTTTTTTTTTCTAATTTTTTTATGACACTGAAGTTAGCAGAAGTTTGAAAATTTTTGATTCTTTTTATTAATTAAATTACAACTAAAAAGATATTTCTAAAAAAATGCACTTAGGTATAGTTTTTCAAGTTTTTTACATGTGTAATTTTTTTTTAATTGTTTAATTGAAATTTTTTCAATAAAAAATTTATAAAAATTTTGAAATGTCGGCTAACTTTATTTTCATAATTTTTTTTGCTATAATTTATTTGTTAAAAAAATTTTTTAAACTATTAAATACCTGCTAAATTAATTTAATTATATAATTATAACAATAAATTAATTTATTAATAATTGATAAATTTTTTTAATAAAAAAAAAACTTCATTAAAAAAAATAAATAATAAAAATTGACTCACCCCAGAACATTCTAAATTTGGCAACAGCTAACCCCAAAATGACAGCTGTCACCTTGCTGACATTTGTCTAAATAACTTGACCTCTCACTTAAAAAAAAACTTAACTTGTACTATATTTTTAATTGATGATTAATAAATAAGATAAAAATAGTTCCACACGTGGTGTATTGAAATTATTGTCCGTTAAGTATCAGCTGTACCGACAACTTTCCCTCTCAATTATTTAAAACCCCAGAATCTCCGGTGGGGGCAGCACCGTACGGTGAAGAAATTAAAATAAGATGCGCGCGCATCTTGAAATTAATATGTGTGACTTGTCATTCTATACACACATGGAAAATGAAACTTTTTCCAAAGTTATGTGTGGAGGCTTCTAAAAATAAACAATAAACTGGGCACAGATGTTCATAGGCACGTTATATTATACAATTTTAAATTTTTGTTTTAAATTACTTAACAGTGGCTTGGAGACCGCACGGCTTATTTAGCATAGAGGTAACATTTATTTTATTATTTTATTTATAATTAACTTAACCTAAAATAATTATTTAAAAAAAGTGTATTTTTAGATAAAAAACAATTTTAATTTATAATCAATCTATTTTTTTATGAGATTAAATTTAGCAGTCGCTTGAAATTTTTTTGATTTTTTTTAATAAATAAATTTGTGCTCCAAAAAATTATTTCTAAAAAGTTGGATTTTTTTTTTAATTTTCTAAATGTCAATTTATTTATTAAAAAAATTTTTAAATTATAAAATGTTTGCTAAATTAATTTTCATATTTTTATGACATTAAATTTAGCAGTCGCTTGAAAATTTTTTAATTTTTTTTTGTTTTAAATAAATTTGCTCCAAAAAAATAATTTCTAAAAAATTAGATTTTTTATTTTTTAAATGTCAATTTTTTTTTTTGACATAATTTATTTATTAAAAAAATTCTTAAAATTATAAAATGTCTACTAAATTAATTTTCATACTTTTTATATTTTAATTTTATAATTTATAATTATCTTTTTTTTTTAATTTTTAATTAAAATAAAGTGAAAATAAATAGTGTAATAATTATAATAAAAATATTTAATTAGATATGTCGAATGAAGATCGGATAAGATTTATATTGTCAGATTTGGGCAAAGCAACATTAAGAGGAGTAAAAAAATGTCCAAAATGCGGAACATTAACCGGATCAAGAGGATTGTCTTGTAAAAATAAATACTGTGATGTTATTTTCAAAGAAAGTGGAGACAGATGTAAATTATCAACCAAGGCATGTAAATTAATAACAAATTCTCTGGCTCAAATATTTTCAATAAGAATCCGCGGCAAGGGTCCAGATTACCGAGGATTCGTCCAGTTGCCGGTTGTCAATGCGACAGTACAAAATGACATGACGACAGTCATCACCAAGACCTCGTCGCTGTGCTTCGTCGAGAGCTGTCAAAAGAGCTTTGACACCGGAGTGCTCCAGTGTCACGAAGAAGACAAGGATGCTGATAAGAATGAAGCTTCTTCAACGTGTCAGCATATCCAGGCTGCCTACAAGTGCTACGCGGAAGCGCAGCCATTGCCGCTGAAAAATTCTTTATTGTCGACGCTGAATGTTAGCTGCGAGATGAAGAAAAAAATCTGGTGCCTGGCTACTGAATCAATTGGTCCACTAGTGCAGAGGATATCTAAAAATATAATGGCTGTTAAGTGTAAGGCTTCGCCTAAACATCCACTCGGTTATTTGCACATTATTTTTTTTACTATTAAAGTTAAAGATAAAACGGAGTATAAATACACTTGCGAGTGTCCTGATCCTGTAAGTTATTCTCTATTAATTTTATCTTTAAAGTAAAATTAATTTAGCGGATATTTTATAATTTTAAGAATTTTTTTGACAAATAAATTATTTTTTTTTTATTTTTAATTTTCTATTTTATTTTATTTTATTTTCTAATTACGTCAAAGAAAATAAAAAAAAAAAATGACCTTTAGAAATTTTGAATAATAAAAAGTGGAATTTTTTTAGAAATAATTTTTTGGAGCAAATTTATTTATCAAAAAAAAATTAAAAAATTGTTAAGTGACTGTTAACTTTAATATCATGATTTTTTATGAAACTGAAATTGAAAGATACTTGACAATTTTTTTATTTTTTTTTTGAAAAATAATTTTTAAGAATTTTTAATTTTTAATTTTTTTAAATTTTTTTAAAGATGAAATTTATTTAAAAAATTTTTTTTGCTGTAATTTATGTTTTAAAAAAATTCTAAAAATTATCAGATATCTATAAAATTAATTATAATAATATTTATTATTAAAATTGTAATTGTTTTTTTTTTAGAATGACTTAAAAGCGAATGACAAAAATACGGATAAATCGACTGTAAGTTATTTATTTATAAATTGTTATTTGTGGTAAGTTATTAATTATTATTATTGTTATTGATTTTTATTAATTTTTTTTTTAGTCAGAGTCTAAGACAAAAGATAAAAGATGCGTACATTTTTACGCAAGTATTTGTGCCTTCAAAAGTGACCCGAAATTATGTGAAGAGTTTGACTACTACATAAATCTGGACGAGAATGAGCGCAGAGAGCAAAAACAGCGTGAGCAGGAAATGAGGAAGCAATTAGAATTGCAGAAGAAGCAGCAGCTAAATGAAACAAGTCTGCAACAAGATGCTGATAAATTAATTGAAATAGGTACGTACTAAATGACAACTTTTTTTTTTTTTTAAAAAATAAATTTAATATTGTTGTTATTAAAATTTTCACAGATTTTATTAACAATATTTTAACAGATTTTGGACCTCTGGATGATCACCATTTACTTGTTCTGCATGACGCATTCAATGAGTCCCAAGGGTTTGATGAAAAGTTGGATATAGACAGTATACCAATTGATCCAAATATACTTCAGAGTAGTATTGGAGAGATAAACATCAACCAAGGCGAATTGACAAACAGTATCGATGATGTGGTAATTAAATATTTTAAAACTTTAATTTACAATTATTTTTAATTAATATTTAACTAGCTACCCTGCAGTCACTATTTGACTGCCGTAACTTTAAACTATAAATAAAATTTTGCTTTATTAAATAATGAATTTAGTTAAATTGCACTGTACTTTCTTAAATATTGACATTTTTAAAGATATAAGCTCATTCTGATGTTACATTTATCAAGAGCTTTCATTTGAGTACCCACATGCATGTTTGATATATTTTTCATATATACATATATATATAACATATAAATATATGAAAAATTGATATGGGTACTCAAATGAAAGGTCTTGATGAGTGTAACGTCGGGATGAGCTTATATCTTAAAAAATGTCATTAGTTGACAAGATAGCAACGTCAGTTCTTAATTATTGATATTTTTAAAAATGTAAGCTCATCCCTAAGTTACACTCATCAAGAGCTTTCATTTGAGTAACCACATGCATTTTTGGTATATTTTTCATATATACATATATATATGATATATATAAATATATGAAAAATTGATGTGGGTATTCAAATGAAAGGTCTTGATGAGTGTAATATCAAGATGAGCTTATATCTTTAAAAATGTCAATAGTTCACAAGATACAAGGCCATTTCTTAATTATTGATATTTTTAAAAATGTAAGCTCATCCCTAAGTTACACTCATCAAGAGCTTTCATTTGAGTACCCACACGCATTTTGATATATTTTTTATATATTCATATATA